ACCCACTTCTTTTGCCACTCTTGTCACCTCTGATCCAAACACTTGTAGTGAATCAACCATTGTGTTGATTGTTTCTTTCAATTCTAATATTTCACCCGAAGCCTCCACATGTATTTTCTGACTAAGATCTCCATTTGCAACTGCTGTTGTGACAGTGGCAATGCTTCTGACTTGGTTAGTCAAATTGGCAGCCATAGCATTCACGTTATCGGTAAGTTCTTTCCAAGCCCCCTCAACATCTTGAACATCTGCCTGACCTCCTAAAATACCTTTAGTGCCAACTTCGACTGCCAATGTAGTTACTTGAGTAGCAAAAGATTGTAAGTTATCTACCATTTTGTTTATTGTGAGTTTTAAATCTAAAAGCTCTCCTTTACAATCTGCAGTTACTTTTTTTGAAAGGTCGCCTTCAGCAACAGCAGTTGTGACATTAGCAATATTTCTCACTTGTTCAGTAAGATTTGTAGCCATGGCATTAACATTTTCAGTTAGTTCTTTCCAAATACCCTCGACATTTTCTACCACTGCTTGACCACCTAATTTACCTTCAACACCGGTTTCTCTTGCCACCCTTGTGACTTCAAAGGCAAACCGTCTTAACTGATCAACCATTGTATTTATAGTAAATTGTAAATCTGATATTTCGCCATTTGTTTGTATGTTTATCTTTCTAGATAAATCACCCAGAGCAACTGCTGTGGTTACGTCTGCAATTTCTCTTACTTGTTTTGTTATATCAAACGCCATATTATTTACATGATTAGTGACAACTCTCCAAGCGCCAACAGTACCGTCGTTTTTAGCCTGACCACCTAGCTCACCTTTGCCAACCTGTTGGGAGATTTCAATTAATTGGGAAACAAAGCCAGATAGTTGGTCCATCATGGCGTTTGTTATAATTTTAACTTTTAAAATGTCGGCGTCAGATTCAATTGCAAAGATCTCTGCTCTTTTCGAAAGGTCGCCCATTGCCACAGCCAAAATGATTGAAGTTATTTCATCCAAATTATGTCTAAATGCTTGATTTGATAACCTTAGGACGTAGTTTTCATGCTTTAATTTAATTAGACTCATTTTCATGTTATTATCAATATTGTATTCTTCTCCCGGAAGAGTTTTGTCTTTAAAGTAGTTTTTGTAGATATCCAAATGATTCTTTCTCAATAATTGATCGTTTAAATCCTTTTGTCTTTTAATTTCTAGATGATTTATGTTTGATACATTTTTAGCGACCATTAGTTGGTCATTTAAGTCATTATTAGTATTTTTCAAGACGGCAATTTGGGATTTTAGCTGATTATGTTCTCTTAATAGAGTATTTAAGTAATCCAATACTTCTATCCTTATAAAAGAATCACTGGTATTCTCAGAATTGAACTTTTCAGGGTTTTCTAGTATGGATAGAATATCTAGATTCCTTTTGTTTTCGTGTTTTTGAGTGCTTGAGGAAAACATTAGAAATAATATTCATAAATTTGAAAAAAGAACAATTTGGCGATAAATGTCTAATAGATTGAAATAAGTGAAGCAATCAAAATAATAAAAAGAATCAAAGATAATTAAAACAACAGTGTGGTTAAACGAATAAAGAGACTAAAATCTATATCCAGTCTTAAAGATCGGTCAAATAATTACTTCACCAGCTTTTATTGAGTTTTGAGTTGGATTAAAAAAATAATGTCACGTTTTCGAATTTTTGCATTGGAACGGGATTTTTGAAATATAAACTTCGTATCGCAGTTAACGATTTTTTGTTTTAGTTTTTTTGTTTTAGCATTTTGGTGGGTTTGTAGAACGTGTGTATTTTAAGCACAAAGCGTTGTATCTCGCAAAGAAAAAGGCAGCTTGTTGGATTTCTTTAAAGGGATTTGGTGTATAATTGATTTTCTTAATTTCCCTGAGGTGTCCACAACAGCAATGTTTTGCGACGAAAAGAGAGAAAGAAAAGAAAATTGAAGAAAATTGAAGAAAATTGAAGAAAATTGAAGAAAATTGAAGAAAATTAAAGACAAAAGAAATTTCTATAAAAATAATTCCGCACACATTTCTTTAGGTTGTAGTTTGTCCTGAGTTAAAAGTAGGGCAGCGAAGTATTGCCAATATAATTATACCATGAGGTTGAAAAATGCAGTAGTAAAATCAGATCAGCTCAAAAACAGCTTAGAACAGGTTGAAACAAACCTCGATAAGCTGTGCTATCTCCCAACTCTTATCATGAATCCCCCCACAATTAGAAAAGCAGACAGAATTGGATTTTGAGCCAATGCTTCCAGTTTGGAGATGCTCGAAAAGGAACTGTGGATAAGACAGGTCGATTTGTCCCATTAATACGGTTCTATGCAGATGGTTGAGTTTGAGAAAGGTTTCCTTCCTTAGTTCAAAATACTCTATGAAATGAGCAGTGAGAACAATAATGTTTTGTGTAGATACTTACAATTTGCTGGTCCGAAGGATATAGGGGAGGAAACAACAAGATGAGAGATTACTGAACAAAAAAGTATACAGAAAACTAAAATGTTTTGCTTAATTCTGCTATTAGCAATATATGAACGTTATTCAAGAACAGTTCTGAACTGCCATTAAGTTTCTAAGTTTGAGTTTCTTTTTCAAGTTATTGGGCTGTCCTTCTGTGAAGAGAGCTCCATTTAAACAGATACGTTTACAATTTTGATTGTATCTCACTGCAAAACATCTTGTTGACCCAAAGGCTTGAACTCTTCTGGAAGTGCCTATTGAAAATGGAATGCAAAAATGGGTCTTACTCAGTATATTTTGGTTGTTGCAATTTTAGTTTTTGTCGGTTTTATGAACAGAGGTCTTTGGCATCAGTTGCAGTGGTTTTTATGGAATTGTGATGAAGAAACATCTCTCATCTATCACTGGCAAATCCGAAGTTTTGGTAGAGGATGGATGTTGCACTTATATGCTTGTTGCTGCACTAGTCGCGTTATTTTTACACGTGGTAAACAGTGTAATTATGCAGCACTTATCTTTCCTCGGAAGTCATATGAAACGGTTGAAAAGTCAAACCGAGCTTCAACTGATCTGATATCCGGTAGAGAAGGGTAATGCCCACCCCAAAAAGATTGCCATGAAACACTACACACGAAAGATAAACACTCTTTAGGTGTTTTCTCAACTCCTGGCATTTATTTCCAACAATGATTTTTTCCAAAAGAATATACAAAGAGTTGCAGGCTATTGAAAAAGACCCATACACCAAGGTCTCGTTTTCTTTGGTTAATCCCAACGACTTGACAAAATTGAAAGGTTCGTTTGTTGGTCCTCCTGATACTCCTTATGAGAATGGTACTTTTGTTGTTGATATCGATGTTCCTTCTGATTACCCCTTTACTCCACCCAAATGCAAATTTGACACAAAGGTATATCATCCCAATATTTCCTCGCAGACTGGTGCCATTTGTCTTGACATATTGAGCAGGACCTGGTCGCCAATATACACTTTGGAGTCTGTTTTGATTTCCTTGCAGCAATTGTTGGAAAGTCCAGAACCATCAGATCCACAAGATGCTATAGTTGCTGAGGTTTATGTCAAAAAAAAAGCCGAGTTTGATAAGACAGCTAGAGAATGGACCAAAAAATATGCAACTCCTAAAGACACATCGCCAAACTCTTCCAATGATGAACTAGAATACTCAGGAATTGAACCAGCAACTGTTGAGATTTTTACTTCAATGGGTTATCCCAAAGACAGAGTAATTCAGGTATTGCTTGATTTGGACTATAAAAAGATCAATACATCTGAAGATACAAAGATCAATTCGGTTTTCAATGCTTTGGGTTGATGTTTGATTTAAAAGATTTAAAAAAAATTTAAAAAATTTAAAAACTTCAATCAAATTTCAATGAATTCTTAATTAAATTTTATTCAACTCTTATTTAAATTTTAATTAAATTTGATTTAAAAAAAAAAATAATTAACTATTCCTTAATGTATTTTTTATTATAGTAGCATGAATAACACTAGTTGTATCTTTATCTTTTTATTACACTTTTTTTGAGTTTTTTTTTGTTTTTTTTGAATTGATCTCAGAAATTGATTAATATAATTAATATAATTAATATAATTAATATAATTAATATAATTAATACAATTAATATGAATAGGAATAGGAATAGGAATAGGAATAGGAATAGTATGAATAATATAAATGACATTGATATCAAAGTTAATAAAATACCAATTTCTCTATAATATCATCTTTATGGTAGTGTAAGTTTTCAAGTCTCAATTTTTAATGTTTTATTTTTAATTTCCACTTTTCTGATCACACCATATTTTAATTTAAAAGGTTTTTATCATGAGAAAAGAGCAAAATATTGCCTGAATTCATTATTCAGCAGTCTAGAATCTCTATAATTAGAATTAAATTGGTGTTTGTGTGTATGATTTGCCTATTTATCCTATTATTTTATCATTTTATTACTCTATTACTTTATTATGTTTAACCGAGCAAAAAAAATAGTCATTATCAGTCATTAATATTAAATTTGAAAACTCAAACAATAATTAACAAAGATTAATAAAAATTAACAAAAATTAACAAAAAGGTTCAAATAGAAGATTCAAATTCAATATTTCTCAGGATTAATGCTTCTTGAAATTAATGCTTCTTGAAATTAACATTTTTTGGAATTAATATTATCTCACCTTGTCTCGAACAAAATAAAAAATAAAAGTATCACGAACGTTTGTTTGAAAAAGTTTTGCTATGAGTCACCACTATAAATTTTTCTCATAATTATTCCTGTTCTATTCACCGGGTTGTTTTCTGGATTGTGATCAAACATAAAACATCAAAACATGTTTCTCACCACTAAAAAAAAAAATAAAATATCATTTTCCATTATCTCTGTGGTTTTTTTCGGCTAACTTGTTGAAAGCTAAAAATTTGCTAAAACTACCTTTCTTTGAAATGTTTGATAGGCTTTCTGGTTGGATTAGTAATCTTTTTCTAACAAAACAGTAGAGCTTTGTTATTATTTTTTTAGCAGAATCGAATAGACCCAATTGATTTTGTTTGTGGTAATACTTTTCCCTTTCTTCAAACAATTATCATCGGGTGGATAGTTGAAAGCAAAAAAACAATACCAAGAGTTTTATTTTCCAATTATTTTTTCATTCCATTTCATTTCTTTTGATTTTGTACAGATATTTTATCGACAAGAAAAGTAGACCATCAATGCGAAGAGCACATTGCTGACATTTGCTCAAAAGGCAAAGACCACAGCTGAGAACAATAACTAACAAATGATGTTTAGCTTAGCTTAGCTTAGCTCAGCTTAACGTAGCTTAGCTTATAACCGGGTTTATTACAATAATTGTGGTTAAAAACAAAGAAAAAAAACATATGGGTGATTGTTGGAGTAAACCAAAAGTGATTTAAATACTATGATTGTTTTGGCAACGAAATAAGAGTAGTAAAATGACAATTCCCGAAGACATTTTAATCGCAGATTTTCCAGCTAAAAACACAGGGAGTCGTAAAACAGGTTATTGATCAAAAACCGATCAACAGTGAACAATAAACCAGTGCAAATAAATCGTAAAAACATAATTTTAGTAAAGCAGAAGCAAGAGACAACCAAAACTCCGTTAGAGAGTAAAACATTTGTGTTTGGTCTTTGCTTTGTTGAAAGCTGTGAGAGAGGATGGGACGATTGAGAGAATGATTTGGATATGGCTTCCTTCAATCTTAAAAAACTTAATGACTTATGGGCCAGAGATCATTGCAAGTTTCAAGTGTCTCATTCCTCGTTGCAAGGCTGGAGGTGATTAGGTTTGCAGCATTAGCAGAACAAGAGCAACGAAGAGCCGTCGATAGCCATTTTCTGGATGCTTGAACGAAAAATTGCACCAGATGCTGGAATCGCAACAATAAAACAGAGCTGCTCCAATTTTAGTCGAGAACCTTAAGTGTTCAAGGCAGAGAAGAAAGCTGTGGTTGATTTACGAAATACAGAACCTCTGGCTGTAGAAATTGAGAGTCAAAAAGAAAACGAGTTGGGCAACCAGCGAATAAGGTTTGATTGCCAGTATCTGTTTTCCATATATATTCCTCAAATGAGTCAATTGATGCCTTTCATTTTCGGTTATTTCATATATTCTTCTGTCAAATTACTCACAGTTTACAGCACATTTCACAGCACACTTGTATGATCTGAAAGATTAATTGGGCTCTGGATTTCATTGGCCCACAGTGGGCACAACTTATTTTCAAAACCTCTTGCTGTGTTGGATTATATAAAGAAGGTGGGTGCATCTTATTTGGACTTGTATTCCTTTTTCATATATAAGTGATGGATCTCTTTGGTTTTTGATCTGGACTAGCACATACACTTTGCAACTCACACCCACCTACTGAATATCCAGACTAAAGCACTGATCACAATGGCTTCCAACCAACCCTCAGCTAATATAAATACAAACGAAAGTTTCCAGATTGTCTATGTTGAAACCTATAGTGATGTGGAAACAATAAACATCGACGAAGAATACGACAAATACAATGAGCTAGCAGAAAAGAATCATCAAAAGGGCACAACTTGGTTTCGTAATCGAGTTCATAAAATATTTAAAAACTGACACATTCCACTTGCTTCAAGTGGCCTTAAAGAGGTTCTCTTTTTTTTTTGATGATTTTTCATGATGATTTTTTTTTCTTGGGGAGTTTTAATTAAAGAAAAATCAAAAAATAAAAGATGGAATCAAAAAATTTGCTGTTGTATTATATTATTAATAATTTTATTTTACTTTTTCCAAGGGATTAGTTAATAAAGATAACAAAAAACAAAAACATGAAAACATATGAAAACATATGAAAATATATGAAAATATTCTTCTGTTCTTAAATTTAAATTGGTTTTTATACTGATTGATATTTTTTTTACCAATTGAAAGCAAGTTTTTTATCAGAGAAAAATAATTTAGGATTCAAACCAGAGACTGATATTCACAAATTGCTCCCCTAATCTACAAAATATCAACAGATCAAAAACAGACAACAATTGCTTAATGGATTTCTGAACCTAAAAATTGCTTGGTTTGTCTTGATATCGGCATTGAAACCTTTTAATTTAATTTTTTTTTAAAGTTAGAACAACTAGTTGTTTCTTCTATCTATATTATTTATGTTGCTATGGCATGCTATTTATATTGGTTTTTTTACTTCACCCTTTCATATTTGCCTGTTAAAGGGTAAAGGCTCATACACATACTCATACTCATATACACTAATACATTTCAAGTATCTAATATATATAATAGATCGTTTTTATATGGGTCTTGTGATCTGCAATGTAGTGAACAGCCACCGATCAGATAAAAAGATAAAGGTAATGGTAAATTTCCAGAAATCTTTTTAATAAGAAAACCAACTTTTCTTACAGAAAAATCTAAATAAAATTTTCAATCAAAAAAAATCTGTATAAAATTTTCAATCAAAAAGTATGTTAGAAAAATCACAAAAAACGGTTTTCTTTGTATTTAACGTCAAAAAGAAAGTAATTTGGATTTGGAGGATATGATAATGTGCCATCATGTATTTTATCTTGGTGTGTTCTCATAGCGGTTTAATGAAATTATGAACGCATGAATTGTGAAATTTGCAAACACTAACATCAAAATGGAAACAGATTTGGGGAGAATTCCATAATTTCAACAGCTAGATGCTGGAAAACTTGTTGGTTAGACTATGGCAAATTAAGTTGTGCAAATTAAGTTGTGCAAACTGTTGTGCAAACTGTTGTGCAAAACATTTTGCATAGAGCACTTTGTTACTGGTAAAAAACCGTATTTTGTAGTAGAAGAGAAGAGCTCCTCTTGTGAACACACTGCAACCCAAATGAGAAAAAGCCATAGAGAAAGCTTGAAAAGTTAAAGAAAATATAATTTTCAATGCCTTCCGCATTAAGCTTTTTAGGTTTTTGCCAAGTCCTGGCAAAGTTGGCAACGGCACAAGAACCGCAGAACTGGTCTGCTGCAGCCTTAGTCATGCTCTATGCGTATTAAAGCAGGAACACATGTGTACATATATCCAGAGCTACGGATTGCAATCTTTTCCAGAAGAGACCACTCTGCTGGGTCAGAACTTTTTTTTTCAGAACTTTTTTTTCAGAAAAATTTTATTTTTTTCAGCTTGATGTGAAAAATTTCAACTTATATTCAGCGATCTCAAGGAAGAAAAGAAGGTAGATGAGAGCACACAATGGGGAAAATCAAGAAAAGTTCGAAGAAGACAACAAAATCTGCTAAGAGATTTACATTCAAGTCGTTTGCTGAGCAAATTGACTCCATCAACATCAGCTCATCTTTGAAGCTAGCAAATAACAACCACAACAGAAACTATATCAACACAAAGGAAAACTCTTCAAAGGACTTTTCCTACTATATTTCAACTTTGGAACACTGGAAAGAAATCAATCTATCAAACAACTTCAACGAGTTTCTATTGAAAACAGACTCCTTTTCTCAAAGTTTACCTCAGATTTTGCACCACAAATCCATAATATTTAAAGCTTTAAAGCATTATCTATTGAAAAATGATCCCAATTCTTTAGAGGCTCTACTAGATCTCTTGATTCAATTTATCCATGACTTGAACCATGAATTTTTGCAGTTTTATAAAGAAACCATCCAGTTATTGGCCCAACTAGTCGAAATTAACTTGAATCCTAGTTCAAAAGATCCCAATAATAACAACCAAGAAAACTCTGAATGTATTGAATGGTTATTCACTTCTTTTGCTTTCATTTTCAAGTACCTTTCGAAAATCACCACAAGTAACCAATCCACAAATAACCAAGACGATTATTTTCTAATGACTTTTGAATTGTTATTGCCCTTATTAAAAGCATCAAAGAAAAACTATGTCATCAAATTTTTATCCGAATCTCTATCATTTTTAATCAGAAAATCCTCTACAGATAACTTGATCCAACTAATAAATTTATCATTTACTCAAACTGACTCTCTTTTGTACAATAGCAATGCATTGATTATAATGTTTACTGAATCAGTTAAAAATATAAAAGGCTCCTACCATTCAAATTCCTTAAAATTAATTCCAATCTTATTAGATCACTCGTTACTTAAAAACCCACAAAATTCAAATGAGGTAACGATTATTTCCGATATTTTCCTTCAAATTATTAACCATGGCCAAAAAAACAATTCCTCTATAATTTACGAAATAATATTAAAAGAATTATCAAATATTTTGAAACACAACGTCACCGTTAATCTGCTTTCAATAATTAAAATACTAATTTCTTTAGTATTTTCCGAAGGTGGTATTAAAATAAAATCTGAAAATTGGTCTTCAATAAAACAAATTATCGATATACTAATTCAAAAAAATAATGAGATTAACAATGAGATTAATAATAACATTGAAAATGACAACAATGATTTTATAAACCATTTATCTTTATTATATGCTATCATAATCAAAAACTCTGACATAAAGTTTTTAATTCAATATCATAATCAAATATTTAACTCAATGATCAATTTAAATCATGGCGACAGTTTTTTGCCTTTTGTCGAAATATCAATCGAAATAGCACCAGAAAGAACCATTTCCTTTGGCAAAAAATTTATACAAGATTTTATTTTGAAAAATTGGCTCATCGATGACGTTGTTAAAAAAACTCAAAGGCAAAAACAAATAGCTTTGTTTTTAAATGATTTAAATGATAAGAGTTTAATCTCAACTGACTCGAAATCTATATCAAATTCAAAGATTTCAATTATCATAACCAGTGATTTTTCTAAAGATCTTATCTCTAATTTGAAGTTTGAAAATGATGGTTCCAATTTTAAAGATGAAATATATTGGAGATTATTAATTTTGAAATTTGTGAATCAAATTGATTTTTCCAAAACTTATTTTAACATCATCATTGATCTTTTGAATTCTATAACTTCAAATTCCTCTTCAATTGAAAGCTTTAATAAGGACATTTATGGAAATATACTAAGCTTTTTGTCTTCTCAAGTTTTAAATGACTCTCAAAATTCTATTATCCTAAATCTTGTAATTAAAGATTTTGATAGATTGAAAGAAAGTTTAGTTTTTATAAATGCTACTTTACTGTTTCTATCAAAAAATATCAATGAAAAAAATGCTCAATCTTTCGAAATTTTAAAAGAAAATTATAAAAAAATTATTAGTTCAGCTAGTAAATTATTGTTATTTGCTAACCATAAACTAAGATACTTTGGATTATCTTTAATTATAAAAATTTTTGAGCTTTTGAAAATAAAACCCTTTTCGTTGCTATCTCAATGTTCGATCATTGAAGAAATGCCATTAAATATTGACACGATTAGAGATTTAACCATAAGGATAAGGTCTTTAGCTTCTGATTATTCAAAATTTGATGTCAATTTCGATGAAAATTCACAATTAGTTTCATCTATAATAATAAATTATATATTTGGTTTATTAACAGTTAAGTTTCAACCTGTTGCAACTGCAATTGGTGACAATTTCTCCATTTTTGCAAAAAAAAATGAAACTGAACTATGGAATTTAGTTGAATTTTTTTTAAATTATAATTTTGATAATAATAATAGTCAATCAGAAGAACAAAAAGAAGATAATAATAATGTAAACAAACAAAAATTAAATTACAATATGCACTCTTCTGATTTTAAATTAAAAAGTCATTTTGAAGCTTGCATTAAATTTTTTATTGATTATTCCTACATCGATCACTCTATAGTGACATACTCTAAAAAGCAATCAGGGGATTCTAAATTTCCTGAGATTATCAGGAGTTATATAATAAGAGCCTTAATGAAGGTTCCGGATTTAGCTCAAAAACATTCTTCTTTCCTTGTTCCATTTTTATTGCAAAAAAGTGATGATTTTGAAAATGAATTCAAAGAAAAAGGATTAACTGATTGGCCATTAAGTGATATTAATTTATTATTAAAACTATTTTCCAAATTTTCTCATATTAAAAATATTTCAAAAAATCAATTGGTTTACAGTCATTTGCTTTCTCTTTTATGTAGTCAAAACAATAAAATAAGAAAGTTGGCTTTAGAATGTATCATTAATTGGAAAAACCAGCATATTAACAAAAGTGCTGAAAATCTAAGAAATTTACTTGATCCTACTTTGTTTAAAGATGAAATTATAAAGTTCATTGTGAAGGGAGATAATAGTGTAATTGAAGAGGAAGATCTTGTTTATGTGATGCCATTGATTTTGAGGATTTTGTTTGGTTGTTCTCAAAATTCAAAAAATAGTGATTCCAAACAAGGAAGAAAATTTGCTGTTATTAGTATACTACCAAATTTAGAAGAAAAACACATTAAGGACTTTCTCAAATTAGGATATGATAAACTTCCCTATGAACCCATGTTCAATGTTCAAGATGCAGTGATTAACTTCTATTTAGAAAATACATCAGAAAGATTGCTAAGAAAAATGAATGGTTTTACAAATGTTCTGTTTGAGACCATTAAAACCCTTGGTTACTCTTCCCAAGAATCTTTGACAACAATTTTGAAACCTTTGATTTTTTGTTTGTCATACTGTCAAGCAGCCATTGACAACAAAACATGTTTAACTTCGAATAATTTGGAAAAATCTGCTCGTTTGACAAGACAAATGGGCATGAAATGTTTGCTTTCACTATTTTCTATTGATTTAAAAAGTTTACAAAACTATAAAGATATAATTTACCAATATATTGTTCAGCCTCGTCTTGAAAAATTTGACACTGAGAATCTCCAACAACCTTCTTCTTTGTTAAATGTCCTTATAAATTGGGCTAGCAATAGTGACTATTATTCATTTCTTTATATTGACGATTTTTCTCCCACAAAAGCTATTCTAGATTTGATGCTAAATGAGAATGCCAAAGAGACTGTGGTTTTGAAGTGTGTTGAATTCTGTACTTCAATCATATCGAACGTTAATTTGGAGGATGATCATTATATTGAATTAACTGCTTTAGTTATTGATGCTGTTCTTAATGCATCAGAGACATTTGCCAAATTGACAAATCCTGATGTAAACTCAAAGGTTATTAATATCTTGTATTTAATAATTAATGGTGGGTATTTGACTAATGATAATTTAATAAAACAAATTATCCACTTATTAGTTGAAAATATTGACAAGTCTTACAGATCAATCAAGGTTGATGATAAAATTAAAATTTTTGAGTCATTAACAAATTTAATAGCTGAGTTTGACTGTTCATTTGATGATATTGCTTTTTTGTATAAATCAGTTTCTCGTTATTTCAAAGTAAGCCGTGAAAATGCTATTAGAGAAAAATTGGTCTCAGTGATGTCAATGATAGGCAAAAAATTTCTCTTATTCAAGGAAGTTTCTGATTTAGTGGCTGATCTTAACAGCTTTGGAACCAGATTAAACGAAAAGGATCATTTGAAACGTCACAGTGCTTCTGAACTCATTAATGAAAAACTATACCAGAGTTTTAGTGCTGAACAGTGGTTGCCACTTGTATATAATGCATTGTTTTTTATCAATGACGGCGAAGAGTTATCCTTTAGAAAGGATTCTTGTTTAACATTGTGCAGGTTTGTGGATTGTTTTACCAATAAGAATTCTTCAGATAAAGCTGAACCTTATATTCAGTTGTTGAAAAAGGTGATATTACCTGATTTGCGAGTTGGTTTGAGGTCATCTAATATATTAATTCAAACCGAATATATTCTATTTTTCCAGCATATCATAGCTCATGCTAAATATTTGGATGATTTTGCCGATTTAAAAATTTTGTTAAGTGAGGAAAATGAAGAGAGAAACTTTTTTATGAACATGACTCATATACAACTACATCGTCGTCAAAGGGCACTCAAAAGATTGAGGGAAGTCTCTTCAAATATATCTGCACCCAATATAGCCCATTATATTCTTCCCATGATTGAACATTATGCTTTCTCAATTGATCCAAACTTCAACAACATAACCGATGACACAATTGAAACTATTAAAGTATTATCTAGCTGCCTTGCATGGAATCAATATAAGGCTTTGGCTAAAAGATACATTTCCTATTTTAAAAAAAGAGATGATTTGTTCCGCAATGCTATCAGAGTTATCATTGGTATTTCAAAATCCCTTCTAGACTCGAAAAGATCAAGAATTAATGGGGCTTCTCTGATTATCAAGAATTTACCAGTAAAAAACGACGATATTGATAACTTTGTGATGCATGACATGCTTCCTGTTATGAACAAAATACTAATTGATCGTGAGGAGGAGTTTGTGCTTTTAAGAGTGCCAATTGCAGAAGCTATGACATCTTATATTTTATGTTTAAATGACGAGTTAATAACTAATGAGTTTCCTGGATTTTTAACCAAAGTTTGTCATATGCTTCGAAGTAAATATAATGACTTACGTGATGTTGTTAGAAAGAGTTTGAGCAGAATGGCTCATATTATGGGTGCTGGATATTTGAACTTTTTGTTAAAAGAAATGAAAACTGCATTAGCTCGTGGTTCTCAAATTCATGTTTTGAGTTATACCCTCCACTCTTTATTAATTTCCTTAAAGAGCAATCTTAAACATGGAGATTTGGATGAATCAGCATATATTATTTCATCGATTGTAATGGATGATATATTTGGCGATGCAGGATCAGAAAAGGATGAGGAAAATTACAAGACTCAAATGAAGGAAGTAAAGGCCAGAAAAAGTGGAGATACAGCTGAAATGTTGACTAATAACATATCTTTAAATGCTTTTAAATATGTTGTTGAGCCTATTAAACGATTATTAGGTGAAACACTTTCCGCCAAGGACCAAAATAAACTAGATGATTTGTTAAAAAGATATTCTGCTGGTTTGATACACAATGAACAATCCTCAACTAAAGATGCTCTTTTATTATGCTATGAACTATACTATGAATCCTCTAATAATCCTTTTACTGAAAAAAGGAAAGCTCAGCAGTTACTTGAGTCTGAAGATCATTTTATTGTGAATCTTGATGCAAAATCTCAAAAATTACATTTACAAGAAAGTAGATATTATTCAATTACATTGAAGAGATTTTCATTTGAATTTCTATTATCTATATTAAAAAGAAATAGTTCATTGGTAACAGCTGGAAATTTAGCTGAATTTGTTCCTTTGTTGAGAAATGCTGTTGACTCACAAGATGAAAAACTTATTGTTTCATCGCTAAAAGTTTTAAACGTTATTGTCAAAGTCAATTTCAGTGATAAAGAAATTAAAAATTTCAAATTTATTGCTAGAAAATGTTTAGTATTGATTAAAGACTCCCCGTTAACAAGCTCAAATCTTTGCCAGGCATGTTTAAGGTACTTGAGTGCAGTAATTCGTAATAGAGAAGAGATTCAATTAAAGGAAACTGCCATTAGTTACATACTAGTACGATTGCAACCAGATTTGGAAGAACCTGAGAGACAAAGTTTAGCGTATAATTTTTTGAAGGCAGTTGTTTCCAAACATTTGATGGTTCCAGAGGTATATGATACGTTGGATAAAGTCAAGCAGATTATGGTAACCAATCCATCAAAAGAAACCCGAGATGTTTCAAGAAGCATCTACTTTCAATTTTTAATGGAATATGATCAGAGTAGAGGAAGATTAGAATCACAGTTTAAATTTTTAGTAAATAATTTAAGTTATAAAATTCCAACTGGAAGAGAATCTGTTATGGAAATAATGCATTCAATTTTTCTTAAAGCAGACAATAATTTAATTATGAGATTGTCATCAAGTTTTTTTATTGGATTGAGTAATGTTGTTTGCACTGACGAATCTTCTAAATGTCGTGCAATGGCTAGTGAATTGATTAAAGAAATTTTTCAAACATTGGGCAAAAATAAATTAATAACAATTGAAGATTATATGATTTCTTGGGTGACTCAATCGGATAATAAGCTATTGTTAAGATGCGGATTACAAGTTTATAAACTATATTTAGAAACAGTTGGATTGCATTTTAATGCTAAGCTTGACGAAGTTGTAATGAAGAAAATTTGTCAAGTTTTTGAAACTGATCAAATTAATTCAGTTGATACTGAATTGGATGGATTTAATAGTAAAAATGAAAATTGGGAATTGATTTTTGTTTCCTTGAATATAATCAATACAATTTTGGAGAACGAAAAAGATAGCAAAGTCATTAATAATAATGTTAATAATATTTGGGACAGTGTTGTTTCCCTATTGTTGTATCCACATTCATGGGTGAGGTTGGCCTCATCTCAAATAATTAATAAATTTCTTCAAAGAATCGATAAATTTAGTGATAATTATAAAATTCAAAACATTGGATATAGATTAATTAGATCATTGGGTGCACCATCAATTGATGAAAATTTAGGTGAAGAATTGGCAAAAAATATCACTCTTATAGCTAAATATTGGGTTGAGAATCAAACATTATATATTAAAAGAGCTGAGGAAGAAGATGATGATGAAGAGACGAATCAGAATGGAGAGATTGGCAATAATGGTAATAATAAAAACAAAAAAGCGGATAGAAAAACCCACAATCTCAGTGTTGAGTGGTTAATATATAGAATAAGTTATATCTTGAAAAAAGATTACAATTTCAAAAAACTAGTAACATCAAAGATAAAATCGGTTGGGATTTTTAAGTTTTTGATTGAACGTTTATCAGTTGAACAAATAATTGAAAACAATGAGCTAATATTATTACCGTTGTATAATTTATCTGAAATTGAATATGAATTTGAAGGAGTAGAGGATCTAAAAGCTGCCACAAGTGAATGTCTTACAATATTAGAGAAAAGGATTGGAACGTCTAATTTCACAAAAATATACTCTGGTATTAAGCAGATTGTGGAAAAAAGAAGAAAAGAAAGAAAAATGAAAATGCAAATTTTGGCTGTTTCCAACCCAGAAATAGTTGCAAAGAGAAAGTTGAAAAAGCACGAAAGACATCGTCAAAAAAGAAAATTAGATAAAGATTCTAGTGGTCTTTATCGTGTGAAAAAGATGAAGGTTTCCAAATAAGGATTTTTTGTAATATTTTTAATCGTTTTTGTTTTATTTTAGTCATTTTTGTTTTTTTAATTCTATTTAATTCTATAGAGATATACTCTTTCGATTGGTATTTCCGTTGGCTCTGAATTTCAACCGACATGATTCTGCATCAACTGAATTGCCGCGGGTTTGGAACGAATGAAAAATGTTTTTCAACCGAAAGCGAAAACAGACACTTTCCATCAATTGATTATAGCATTGGAGGAATATGCTAAGTGAATGCTTTCTAGTTATTCATTAAATGGCTATTTTGTTTTGGATTTCATGTTTTCTATGAAAGCTGCTGTTAGATTTGAGCGGAAATAATAAAAGGTGAATTTTGAACTGAGTTATTAATTTTTATTGATTAGGCTTTGTGAGATTCTGTAATAACCATTATTGTTTTTATGGATTGAAATTATTTTGATTGGTGAAAAGTCAGTCTTATTGGCGAAGTATATGTAATTAAGTAATTGAATATGTTTGTTTAAGATATTTGCAGAACTAATTAATTGTTGATTCCAATTCGTTCAACAATCACAAAATTATTGAAAAAAACTGAATCCTTATGAACATTTAACGACGCTGAAGATGTTTCAATGTCTAAGCTGAAAGAAGCTTTTCAAGGTGGATTTGAGTTAATTAAATTACTTGGTTTTCTTGTTAGTTGGAAAAGAAAATTATTTTAATTTTTTTGTTGGTTCTGATTCCTTTGGAGAAGATGAAAAAAAAAAAGGTATCGAGGTTAATTGATTGAGTATAAATAAAAAAATAATTCTTTGATTTTTTCATGTTCATTAGATTATTATTTAGCTAATAGGTTAAATACTTTTTGCTTCTAGTTATTTTTTGGAAACATAGATTTTGAACCACTTTAGTTATAAATATTATTACAATGCAATTGCTCAACATTTTATCAATCTCAAGTTTATTGCTTGCTGGTTCAGCTATTGCTGCTCCATTGACAGTTCCTGAATGGAAGTACCAATCTGATCCATCAATTGAAGACAGAGTTGACACCATCATCAACACCCAATCCACCATTTTCACTGATCTTGATTTCACTAGATCATTATCTACACCAACATTTCCAACCATCCACAGTTCCTGCAATGCTACAGAAAGAAGAAAATTAGAGTACATGTTCAAGGAATCATTGGAAGTTGTTGCCAAAGGCAGAAATCATATTCTTAATGAAGGTAACAATTACGAAGTATTCAAGAGATGGTTTGGTGAAGATGGTGATATGTTTGTTGTCTTGGGTATTTTCGATTATGTTTTGCAAGGTAATAAGGATGGAATTTTATTCAGATGTGATGATGCTGATGGAAGTTGCGCAAAGAACCCAACCTGGGGTGGTCACCACAGAACTGATCCAAAGTACGAAAATGAAACTGTTATTTGTGAAAACTTTTACAGATCTAGAAAAACTTTACTCGACATCTGTGGTTCAAATACTATTTCTGAAGATGGTCCAGCTAATTACGCATCCGTTGATTTAGTCCACAGATACTTCCATGTTCCAAGTATGTCTAGAGGTATTGTCATTGAAGAAGATTATGATGATTTGGAAGAATTTGCTCAAAACAATGGTACTTACGCTTCCAGAAACGTTGACAACTTATTGCACTACTTGGCTGATTCTTATGGCCACGATATTCAAGAAGGTGGTTGTTTCTAAGCTAGTTTTTGGTTTAAATCCAGCTTTTTACGCTAGACGACTCCTATTTCTTTTTATCTTTCTCTTTTCTCTTTATTTTTGTTTTCTTTATGATTTGTCATTCTTTGCTTTTTTGTTTGGTATAGCAATACCCTTTGTTCTCGTAGCTTATTTAGAGATATCTTCAATACAGGTTTTTTCTTAAAACACGTCCTGATTGGGCAGCTCTGGTTCAATCACTACACCCCTCTTAAATATATTCACAAACCCTCTCCTATCGCATTGTCAGAGCCCTACAGTGCTATCCGGAATCAGGGCTCCTATGAAACGACTTTTGTTGAAGCTTCCACATAGCCCAAAAAGAGCTGAGCATCAAGACAAATCACAACCACATCGCAATCTCTGAGTGCTTCATGAGTGTTGGAGCAAGAACTACTGCCTGGTATAACCTCTGAGTGTTTGCACATCTGATTCTGCGTAATCTCCGATCAAAACCATCTCCACTGATCACAGCACCATAGACACCTACTAACACATCCCACAATCACCTGTTAACGTCTTCAAAGATGAATTTCTTACGAAGGAGAAAAAATGGTGATAGCGATAATGACAATGACAACGATTCAATAAACAATGCAATAGTTGATAAAAACCAAAAATCAAAAAAGCCCCCTAATACTGCTTTTAGGCAACAGAGATTACGAGCATGGCAGCCTATTTTAACTCCTAAAACTGTTCTACCTCTATTGTTTCTAATCACTTTGATTTTTGCTCCACTTGGCATAGTGATGATGATAACAGCTAACAATGTCCAAACTTTTCAACTAAATTATTCAAATTGCAACAAACTAGCCTCGACCAATTTAGATAGTCCTTCGGTGATTGACTCAAAATACTACTCTTCCAATTTCAACGATAACTCAAATTCAAAAACAGATTCAACAAATAAACCAACTTGGGTAGCATTTAACCAGACTGCTGATCAAAACAATGATGAGGACTATGATAGACAGATTTGCAGAATTCAATTTTATCTATCAAATTCAATCAATCCTCCTATCTACTTGTTTTACAAATTGACCAACTTTTATCAAAATCATAGAAAGTACGTGGAAAGCTACGATTTGGGCCAACTCAAGGGCAAAGCTGTTTCTAAAGATGACTTGGACTCTCGTTGTGATCCTTTAAGTACTGATGAGGAAACTGATAAAATCATCTACCCCTGTGGCTTGATTGCAAATTCCTTCTTTAATGATTCCTTCTCAAACCCCATCTTACTAAATCCTTCAAATACAAACTCAAACTCTCCCAATATAACCTTTAACTTTTCCCAAGCTGGTATTTCTTGGTCTTCAGATCGTTCTCTATATAAGAAAACCACCTATGATATTGAAAATATTGTGCCTCCTCCTAATTGGTCCAAGAAATATCCAAATGGCTACACAGAGGATAATTTGCCTGATTTTAGCACTGATGAAATATTCCAAAATTGGATGAGAACTGCTGCTTTGCCTAATTTTATGAAATTAGTTGGTAAAAACACCACTGACTCATTGCCTGATGGTAATTATCAAATTGATATAGAGATGAATTACCCAGTAGAAATTTACGGCGGAAAAAAATATATAATAATAACCTCAAACAGTGTAATTGGAGGCAGAAATTTATCTTTGGGAATTGCATACATAGTTTTAGCTGCTTTGTCTCTACTATTTGCTCTCATATTCCTACTAAAACAAATCATTAAACCTAGGAAAATTGGTGATCATAATCTCCTAACGTTAACAACAAACGACTTGGGCTCAAATTCAATCAGAAATCGAAATTCAATCACAAGTAACAGCAGCAAGCGTAACAATAATGGATTTTTTAGAAATCCCAGGGATATTCTCTAATAAACTTTTTTGATAATTGTAGTTATCCATATAGCTTTCATTTAAATTTTTTTCATCTTCAATATATGTATTTTATTTTCCTTTTCCTTTTCCTTTTATTATTTCACTTCAATTTACAAATAAACAATTTACTTGTTGGTATATTCTACAGCAAGAAATACATCTCAACATCTGAGCAAAATAATTAAAAATAATTTTAAATAATTAAAGATTATTGAAAATAAATAGAAAAACTAATTAAAAAAAAAAAATTAAAGCAAAACCAGGAAAATACCTTTTTCAATAAAAAATTAAATTGTTATTTTGTTTTTTTCCTCTTTTCTTTTAAATTGGAATCATGAGTCAATTTTTTATATTTTTGTGAAGTAATACCAGCAAATAATAAAGAAGGATCAACATAATAGGCAACTAAACAGTGATAAAATATTATATAAAATAAAAAAAAATATGAAGTGATGAAGTTAAATTGTATGAATTTAAATATGTCTTTTATTTTGCATTTCTCATTAGCATGTTTTTTCCTTTTCTTTTAGATAATTTTTTTTTACTAATAATAAATTTGATTGATCTGTTATATAATGGATAATATAAAAAAAACAACAACAAAAAAATATAAAAAAACAAAAAGGAAATGAATAAGTGGTAAATAAAAAAAAAAGCTTTTTAATATAGAAAATAAAGGGTTAAGAAAAAAAGTTATAGGATCATCACCAGGTAAGTTGGATAATAAAATATATAAACCAATATATACTCTAAAATTGTATGTTATTTTATTTCAACTTTGTAGTTTTTTTTTTCTTTTGGATTGAAATAATGCAGTTTTATAATTGATAATAAAAAGTTTGCCAAATAATAATGATAAGATTTATTTTAATACAATAAGAGTTGAATTAATTTTTTAATTACCATTATGATTTTATTTCATTTTGATTAATTTTATTTCAATTTTTTTTTTAGATTTTTCAAATTTTGCTTAATTACGATTATAATGAATATTAGCAGGTCTTGGTTTTGGTCTATATTCCCCATTTAATTTTCCTCTACCATTGATAAATTTTCTACTTGATTCGCCATTTGATTTAAAATCCTTTTCCTTTTGTTCTCTAGCCTCTCTTTTTTCTCTCTCAGCCCTATCGTGATCGCCCTTTTTAGTTCTTGGTTGAATCTCAATAATACAATTGCCAGAAATTTTTAAAACCTTTGCACTTAAAGCCTTTTCTTGAGCAGAAGCAGAAACAAAATCAACTAGAGCAATAAAGTTTTTAACAACACAAGAATGAACTTTACCAAAATTAGTTTCGAGACATTTTGTCAAGTCAATGCTTGAAACCTTGACAGATAAGCCACGAATATAAACAGGGTATACTTCATCTTTCTTAATTTTACGAGCTTTAACAACTTGATCAGAGTTTATAATTGGAGCGACAGAAGAAAATGGTTTAGTGGTTGTTGATTCAGAAGGTTTAATTTTTGGATCAACAGATGCAACAGCAGAAGCAGCATTAGTAGCTAGAGAAGCTGAGATCAAAGAAGAAACAGATCTTGGTTTTGTTTTTTTAATAGTTGAGGAAACGGTTTCTTTCTTTTCAGTGCCTAACATAGCTGCTGCAGCCCAAGAACTTGGTTTTGGTTTTGGTTTTGGTTTAACAGGGGCAGGAACAGGAGCAGAGACAGTAGCAGAAGCAGGAGTTGATGAGACTGGTTCAACTTTATTGGAAATTGGAGAAGCAGTAGCAAAAGATTTGACAGATTCTGGTTTAGATTCTGGTTTAGATTTAGGTTTAGGCTTTTGTTTTTCGGTAACTTGTTCATCCTTTTTAGCTTCAGTCTTTTTAGATTGAGGAGCTGGGATATTCTTTGGTTTTTCTTGAGGTTTAGATGCTTCTTTGGAGGTTTCAAGTTCTTTTGATTTTTCAGCTATAATTTTATCAGTTTTATCAGTTTTAGTAGGAGGAGACTCAATAGATTTAGTGTTTTGAGATTCTGAAACAACAGGAGCAGAGAGTGATTTTGGTTTAGAATTAACTTCTTGTTTAGGGACTTCTTGTTTAGCAACTTCTTGTTTAGCAACTTCTTGTTTAGCAACTTCTTGTTTAACGACTTCTTGTTTAGTGGCTTCAATGGGTTTGATGGCATTTTCTTTTAGTTCAATCGATTTATCTTTTGGTTGAACTTGAGATTTCTGATTTTCAACATTAAGAGATCCTTTGAGTGGGCTAGGAGATTCAGGTAATTTAATGGTGGAGTCAGATTTTTGTTGTTTGATTGGTAAGGGATTTTGTTGAATGGAGGTGAGAATTGCGGGAGAAGTAGATGAGAGTTCAGATTGTGTAGTAGAAGGTTCTAAGAGCGAGGTTGAGAAAGTTTCAGATAGTGCAGGAGAGGCAGTTGTGGAAACAGTGGGAGCAGCTGAAGAAGAAGGAGAAGAAAGAGCAGGTTGGGATGGAGTGACTTGTTTTTCAACTTGATTGTCTTGTTGGAGTTGAGATTGGTAGTCGTCGTCGTCGAAAGGAGATAATAAACGTAAGATGTCGTTGGTGATATCATAGACAGCTGGATTTGAGATTGAATTTGAAATTATAAAAGTTTGAGTGAATCTAAAAGCAGGAGAATCTAATTTTGCTAGTTCACCGATAACATTGATTAGGATGTGATTTAAGTTGTTATTTGAATTGATTTGTAATTTTTGAATATCAGCTAAGGAGATCATGATTTTGAAGATGTCTTCTTGGATTGGAATATTTTTATCATTATTATGGTTCTCGTTGTGATTATCATTATCGTTATCATGATCGTTATCTGCGGTGGATTTTGGAATTGATTTAGATTGGTTGTCCTGGTTTTTGAGTAGGGAATTGAAGATTTTTTTAATTTGGTTTGTGCCTTTTGCTTCGATTAGATTCAAATCTTGTTGATTGAAATCAATAGTGGCAAGATTGATGTTGTTGATATTGATGTTGAGAAATTGGTTGAACAAGTAGTTCAAGTCGTCATGAGTTACAATTGCATTTGAAGAATATAATCTATAGATTTGACTCAAGTTGTTTGTAAATTTCGAGTAGTAATGGCTTATGAAAGACCAGCCGATAGTTTTTATGTCTTGGTCTTTCAAGGCCAGGGAATTGGAGGGAGAAGTGGAATTTGAGTTGTTAACTTGGAGTGAATTTTGGGTTTTAGTGGGAGATGAGGCTGGAATCGAGACAGGGTTTGGAGATTGGTTGGAGGTGGCATTAGTGTTGGTGTTGGTATTGGTATTGGTATTGGTCTTGGAGCTGGAAATGGCAGGGGAGTTTGAAGAAGAAGTGGAAAGCTTTGACATGATTCAAAACGAGAACTGGATTGATTGATTGGAGATGGTTTGTGGTGGTGTTTGGAATTGAGATTGTATTTCGTAGCGGATAAAACAGAACAAGAAAAAATAGGGTGATTAAAATGAGCCTCAGGGAAAAAAAGATTAATTACAGAAGAAATGATTTGATTTTTTTTTGGAATGGAGGAGGTTTTGTATTTTTTTTGATTTTAATTTTGTAGACGATGCTGATTTTTTGTGATATTAAATTGAACAAGAAAAAAGCTGTGCTTGAAGAGGTTTGATTAACGTATTAATAGAGGCTACCAATTGGATTAATCAACTCAAAAAAAGAAAAACAGAGAAAGTGATTATAAAGCCAAAACAACTAAAAAAATACAGGAGAAGAAGTTCCAAAGAGAAAAAGGGAGAGAAGGAGGTGTAACCAATGAGCTGTGAAGAAACCTTTGGATCTCTTTTAATTGACGATTCCGATATATATAATTGAATATATATATTTGGCGAAGTTGTTCAGTGGAGCCTTTAAATAATTCCAAATAATAAATTTAAAATTACACTTTTCAATTTTATATTTGAAAAAATTTTATGGAAAAAAGCTACAATCTGTCACGTGACCGTGTTCCCAAACAAGCAATTGTGCGGAGATCGCGCCCAGAATCTGCAATTTCACTGCGAAAAACCTGAGTGGCGACTTTCGGCGTAGACCGTCGACCGTAGTGTTTCGTTTGGATCGGTAACGGCAGACGAACGGATGGATCGGCCGATGTTCTACGGGTTTTGCGCTTTCCGTGTTAGGTTATCGCATCGTTATGTATTTATGGTTCTTATGCTAACAACTTGATCTTCTTTTCGAGGTTTTTGTTTTTCTTTTTCATCTTCATCTTCTTCTTCTCGTTTTCCTTCAAGTACTTTCTCCAATTGTACACTCTTTCCTCTCGCTTGTCCTCCCAGTTTTTCTCTTGCTTCTTTTTGAACAACCTCTCCTGCTTCAATTGCTCTAATTTCTGCTTTTTTAACACCTCTTTATTGATGTTTTCCTTTATTTCCATTCGCCGCAAGAACTCTTCCTCGATCAATATCTCCTTCACTTTGTTTTTCAATTTGCTCGAAAACTCCTCGGAAATGAAATAGTTTGTATTATTAACAGAGATCTTCTCCTCCCGGACTATTAATTTTCTCGCATCTTCATAGATTTGGTCTAAGTTTTTTCTCAATTTTTCATCAGTCAAATTCAAGTGGTTTTTTTTCAATATGTCAAATGCAATGGCGGCATTGGGATTGTTCTTGTTTTTGTCTGGATGGATTAATAGCGATTTTTTCCTGTATTTCTGGTTAATATCCTTCAACGACACCCCTGGCTGCAATTCCAATATCGAATAGGAATCCAACTTGAAGCAATTAATGATTCTCGATATCTCTATATCTCTGCCCAACTCATTCTCTTCTTTCATCAACTCCGCTTCGATTTCGTTTATATCAATGCTGTACCCATCTCTGTCTTTATTTTGACTGCTGTTCTTGTTTTTTGAGCTGCCCACATCGTTTGAATTGCCACTGCCATCTTCAAGCCCATCTGGCTTCCCACTCATACCACCATCCACGCCCACATCTATGTTTGCATCCATGGTTGTGTGGTTGATCTCAATCCAGTCTCATGAACATGTTCTCACCACATTATCCCCGTCCGCACACCCTTGCAAAGGGGAAAGACACCCGTGATCATACATCTTCCAAACAGGACATCCCGACAAGAAAAGAAAGGTGTTTTCTAAGCGCTAATTGCTGGACCGAATAGGAATTCCGATGCACACTGTGCACGTGTCAAAAATACCTTGTACAGAAGCATATATATGCAAAGAGCTGTTGCGAATTTGTCATCACACGTTAAAATGATATCGACCGTCTACCTGGATTCAGCACTTTTGCAGCAAAAATAAACGTGACCAATGGCGAGCTCAACTCCACTTGTGTTATATCTAACCAATAGCTATAATTTTGCAGTTTGGGTTTACTCATTTCATTTTCCCCTTATTCATTTTTGTCCTCCATAATATTTACATCAAACAATCTTCTATCTCTGGAGCTATCCAAATATCTCTCCTATTGAACATCCTCTACACAAATGCTGGTGTGCAAATTACGTAATAATCTGGATCCACAGCCTGTGCTTATCTAGCTGCAAACGTTGCAAAAACAGGAGGTATCACCTGATAATCAAACACCTTTTCCTAGACCCTTTCCGGGCAAAAAAGTGTTGCACGTTTTGGCCCAAAAAGCTACGGATCACAACTCAAAGCAACTTCCAATGCTCAGCTCTGAGAACCAACTCCAATTGAACCTCAAACCGACACTCCTCTCCTCAACAGCACTCTTTTCTTGTTTTTCTGTTAATGTCCTTTTCCTCCAACCTCACTTTTGCTCCTGGTGAACCAAATTCAGATTTACAAGCGATTTTGCAGAAGAAATGGTCGATCCACTTGATAACCCTTTATTCCTCTGGCAACAACTTGATCATTCTATTAACAGATACAAGCAACAACAATGGCACTATCGACCATAGCACTGCCTTCAACAACAATGGCACCATCCTACAGACTGTCTACTTTGACAGCGACATTGTATCCTTAGACTTGAATCCCTTCAATGGCCTAATCGCTGTCTCAACATCGGTCAACAAAGTCTTCTTCCTCAAGCCAATAGAAACCTTCATGATAGTTCCCAAATGGCAGTTTGTGCTTAAAGACTGCGATGATCCTAAAGACAAAAACGACCCAATCAATTATAACAGCGACAACAAATTGCTCATACACAAGACAAATACTGTTATCAACACTTTGGCTTGGGGTAACTCCAATGAAATTGTTTTGGGCACAAATAACTCCATAATACTATTCTATCTAGTGGAAAATTTCGGCTTATACTCGGATTTCAAACAAATCTATAAACTAGCTCAACCAAACAAAATCAACTCAATTAAATTCAATTTGAATTCAAATATTATAATAACTTATTCAAATTATGACTACTTTTTAAAAATTTACAACAGATTGAATTTCGATCACAAAAACACCTCTTTCAATCTCACTTACTTGAGTCATTCATCATATATAACAGACTTTAGATTCAAAGATAACTTCATTAGGCCTGCTTCTCAAAATAAAAACGCTAATGACAGCTTAACTAAAAATTCAGCTGATAACGATAATAACACCAATAAAAGTGAAGTTGTATACACCTTAACCAATAACAACATCTTGAGAATTTTCACCACTTTTGAGCTTGAAAAGAATCAGATATTCAAACTTGTTGCATATCTAGATCTAAACAATAACTTTCCTTCTTCAATATTATCCCCGGTTTTATCTCAAAGTCATTTTGATTCCTATTTTCCGAAATCTTCTCCTTCTCCTTCTCCTTCTTCCACCACTTCTTCCCATTCCACTTACTTTGTAATAATCATAAACTCCTTCAATTTCAACTACGCCTTAAATCAGTCAATCATTCGCTATAAACTTGAAAATAAACCAACTCTAATTTTAGAAAACATCATCAATCTAAATCTAGATTTATTGATTATTTCTGATAAATCTGGAAATTTAACACTATATCTAATAGAAAACTTAAACTCAATCCCTCAAAAATTAATCAAATTCATACCTTTAAAATCCTTAAATTTCCTAAATAATCCTTTAACCTTTTGTCCACTCACTTTTCCAAAAGATCCAAATTGTTTAAACTTTAGTGACATTTTTCCTGTTTTTAATGACCATAATGCTACTAACAACAAAAATAACTCCAACAATAAGAATACTGATAATGATAATGATAATTACAGAAATAGCAACGACTTTGATACCCCAACTGTCAATTTAAATGGCGACTTGTCTTTGCTAATTCACGACCTAGAAAAAAGAAATTTACGTCAAATTTTCATAAAATTTGACGACTTATTTGATGATATAAATATAAACTACCTTTTAAATAACTCCACCTCACTAAGAACCAACACTATAATAACAAATACTAATACAAATACTAATACAAATACTAATACTGATAATAAAGTTGGAAACAAGGCCAAAAATGGCTTGTTTGATAACCATAAACCACTAAGAATAAACACCAGTAGTGCTTTACTAAGCAATCATAAAAGATATCCTGTTAGATACTTGAAAACATCACTACAAAATAAATTAACAGGCCATCAAAAATCTATTCAAAGTCTATTCAAATCCAATAATGGTGAGGCAATGCTTTCTACTTCAAGATTTAATGAAAATCATGTCTGGATACCAATCATTGTCAACGACCACAACATCAATGACCTAAAACAAACAAAAAATAAAAGAAACAATGCTAATAGAAAAAAATTTAAAAAAACAAACGGAAAAGTAATACTACTAAGAAAAACAATGTTAATCACCGAAAACCCCATCTTAAATGCAATTTTGCTAAGAGATGGCGATTTTATCATCACTTACCTTGGAAATCATTCATTAGCTCTATATCAATGTAAAGGCAAAAAATTCTCAAACTCATTGTTTAATCTTCCTATTAAATTTGAAAAAAAAATTCTTAATACCAAAAATCACAATGATTTAAACTCATTTTGTTTTGTTCATATTCCAGAAGTCTATAGCGATTTTACTTCAGATATTCATTACCTAATAGCAGTATACCCGTTGGTAAAATTGTCTAAAGCTTGGAAAATAGATTTAAAAAATAACAATATTAGTGAAATCGCAATAAACAGTTTACCCCAAGACTATGAAGATGAAGATATTAAAAGCTACAGCAGTATTGATCCCGTGGGTTGGTCTGGTAAATCAAACAAAGTTTATAAAAATAACATTTTTACCACAATTTCTTCAACTGGTCTACTTAAATCCTATTATGCTGATGTTGATAAAGGTTCAAATAAAATATATTGGAAAATCAGCTATAAAATTGAAACTGGTATAAAAAACGCTTCTTTGATAAAAGAATCTTCAGTCAATAAAATTGCAATTGTCGATTCATCTACCAATGTTTTAACAATTTGGGATAACAAAAATTGTATATTAGAGTATTCTGAACAATTTCCTCAAAATGAAAAAATATTTGATGTTGATTGGACATGTAATTGGAAAAAACAATCAATTTTGTCCATTGGTTTTGCTCAAAAGGTGATTTTATATTCTCAAATTCGTTACGACTATACAAATAACATGCCTTCATTTACCTCTATAAAAATCATATCACTTCCAAATCTAACTTCGCATATTATAGGTGATTCATTGTGGCTAAAAGATGGTACACTAGTGATTGGTTGCGGTAATCAATTGTTTGTTTCAAGTAAATATTTGGATATTGAAAATGATATATACACAAAAAAAGTTATGGCAAATAGAATTTCAGATAATATTGAAACCATTTTTGATATATGTTCTTTGTTGAATGGACCACTACCGCTTTACCACCCCCAACTTATTATCCAATGTCTATATATGGGGAAAATAGATCTAGTTAAAAAGATTTTGCTAAATCTTTTTAACCGGCTAAGAAAATTGGACTTGAATCCAGAATTTACAATTAACAATCTTGGCACAACATTAGGGATCCCTATTCTTTCATTCTATGACAAAAATTGCGCCGAATACGATGAAGAATTGAGTATTTATAACTCTAATTTGAGGGAAAAAGCCACTGTTAATAGTGATTCCACATCACTAAAAAGCCATTCATCATCTGCTGTTTCACTTAAAAGCTTTAACAAAAATTTCCAATTTACAGGAGGAGAAACAATGAATCGAAAATTGAATCAATCCAATAAATCCAATAAATCAACAAAAAAATTTTTGGGTGTTCATAATGGAAATGAGAGCGGAAATGCAAACATTAATGAGGAAACTTACAGGGAATATAGCGATACAGTATCGAGTCTTTTAAAAGAAAAGTTAACCTTAATTTCGTTGCCATATTTGACAAGACATCAGCAAATCACCCTTTTATCTGTTATTGAATCATTAACAGAAATTGAGAAAAATAGATATTCATTGGATGAAAATGCACTTAAATATTACATGGGATTAAAGCTATTAGAATCGCACAAATCATTACAATTCAAATTAAATATGAGAGATATACTATTTGCTCTTCATTCTGAAAATAAAGAAATTTTGATCAATATGATAAACAACAAGAATAATTTTAAAATTAACTGGGCTCTTTGCAAAAAATATGGGTTTCATTACTGGGTGAATAACACGCAATTAAAGAGACAATTTGAAATAATTGCGAGAAACGAATTTGCAAGTTCAATAAAGAGTGATGGGAAAAAAGATCCAGAAAATTGCACATTATTTTACTTGTCTTTAAAAAAGAAAAACATCCTAATTGGGCTATGGAAAACATGCTATGGGAATCCAGAACAATTAAAGACAATAAAATTATTAAATAACAATTTTAATGATCCAAAATGGAAGAAAGTTGCTATAAAAAATGCATTTGCTTTGTTGTCTAAACATCGATACTATTATGCCGCCTGTTTTTTTCTTCTTGGTGACTCTTTGAAGGATTGTGTTAGTGTCTTGATTAAACAGGTCAAAGATGCTGAGTTAGCTATTGCGGTTACTAGAGTTTATGATGGAGATACTTCTGATGTGCTTAGAAAAGTGCTTAATAATCACTTATTGGTTGATGCTATATTAAATGGTGATAGGTGGACCACAAGTTGGGTTTATTGGATGCTAAGGGAAAATCAAATTGCAATTCAAGCATTAATAAAAGCCCCATATAATTTATGTTTAGAAATATATCTGCAATTTGATGAAACAAAAAGAAAAATGCTTTTACCAGATGATTATGACAAAACCTTACTTTATAAAGAGGAAAAAAACACCAGATATTGCAAAGATAATTCTCTCAAAGTTTTATTTTCAAATGAAAAAACCGGTGGCAAAAAACCGTTTTTGACTGAAAGTATGTCTTATTTGGTAGACGATCCTGTTTTGATGATTTTATATAATAATCTCAGGCAAAATAATATAGAATATTTTCAAGGTTCTTTATTAGTGCCCATTGAGGTTGAATTTGAGTTTGTTTTGAAAATAGCAAATATTTACAGCAGAATGGGTTGTGATTATTTGGTATTGGATTTGCTTTCTAATTGGTTTTTCTTTCCATTAACAATAAGTAAAAATACTGAGAAAAAAGACATGAATGAATCACTTGCTACTATCACAAGTCAAAGTACTTTTGTTGAAAAGGATTTAAGTTTAAACAAATTTAAAAAATTCAATTTCAATGATTTTTCTCCAGCAAAACCTGTTTCGAATTACGGTTATGCAAATGAAGCTCAGTCAATTTTTGATAGTTTTTTTTAAATCTTTAAATCTTGACAATTCAAGTTTAATATTTTTCATCGAGCACAGTTAGGCAATGATGTATACTATAAAGTAATTTGACAAAAAAAGCACTTTTTTCCATGTTTTAATTAATGTTTTCAGTTTACGACTTATTGCAAGTTTTTAATATTTATAAGTGATTTCTATGAAAATCAGCATAAATAATTTAAAACAAAACTTTACTGACTTTTTTAATGGTATTTTGCTTTTAGAATCATATAAATCTCAATTGAATTTATTTATGCATCTATCATTGTCAATATATTAATGTTAAGACTAAAAGTGAACATATTAAAATATATATAACATGTTTAGATTTTTAATAAATTTTATTCAAAGACAAGTTGAAAAAAGAATCTTATCGGATCTTAATTAAAACTAATAAAATTGCTTTTTAATTTTTTTTAAAGGGTTTATCAATGAGTGATGGTGTTTTAATTAAAATAGAGTTATTCTAGAGAGAACGCTACCATTTGAAAAAGATAAAAATCAAAATTCATAAAATTAAGAAAGAATTATAAAAACTCAATAATGGTTTAGTGTCACAATCGTTAACAGATTTTGGTCCTTTTATTAAGTGATTATAAGAAATTTATTAAGCTAAATAGAATACTCTAGCTAAGGAATATTGAACCAAATAATACTCAATTTAGTGGTAGACCTAAAGCTTCTCTTTGAGACTTAGATTTTGGATCAAAAAATGGAATTTCTGCCAATGAAGTAACTCTAGTTCCATGTCTTGGTTCCAATCCTTCATGGTCCCAGATGGTGCTGTGCATACTCTTCTTCGGTATAAAACACCCAAAAATGATAGCACCTTGCAACTGTATTTAGGGACAGTCCATCCAGTGTCTTTTACTAGCAAACTGCACATTGGTTTAGTTGAAAAGCATTACCTAGTTGTCCATCCTGTTCAATTTGTGATTCATCTTTTTCTGCAAATTCGAAGTCAATGGATACAAACTCACACAAACGCTAACACGCGTCAACATCGCATATAATTTGCAAAATGTGGCGAGTGGCTCCAGCCTCATCCCAAAGTGGATGTTTATTCAACATCCAATGCAAAAAGTCGAAATCAATTGATGTCTACTAAAACTAAAAGTACAGGAAAAATCGATCAGGAAGTGGTTCAAAATATTTATTGGGTCAACTATAGTAAAAATGAAATTGTTAGTAACTAAGCAATCGCAAAATCAATTGTAAAATACAAAAAAAATCTACATTTAATATTGATTCAATTATAGAACTAATCAGACATCCAAGGAAGGATAATAACAGTCATTTATACACTAGATTGGGTTCTATGCGTGCACTCCTGAGGAAACTGCGAATGTTTACAAATGTTTTCATCACATTAGTTCTTTTATTTCAAACTCTTAGGCATCAAACATACATTTTAGTTCATCTATTCATTTAGTTAGTAAACAGTTTTGTCAAACAAGGAAGGAAAAAAATGTGAAGCCACTCTTTAAAGAAAAGCTCTTTCCGTGATAATGATCAGATATGTTAAAATACTGGCAAGTATTAGGTCTTTGTACGATTATTAAAAACAATCAAGACACGTTCAATGGTCCTTGTCGTCATGGTCGAATAAGATAACAGAAAAGAAGAACGACGTTATCATCATAAAAAGAAACAGCTTTCATTTAGCATAAATGCAATGTGCAAATAAAAACATACTATTTGATTAGGTATTGATTGCGAAAACCATTACTATGTTGTAGGTTGAAGAAAAACTGTACTACTGAAATTCTTCTTCCTTATTTATATTGTAAGAAAATTTTTCACCACAGAAGAAAGAAAAAATTTTTAAGGGCTGGTAAATTTTCGTGCTCAGAAATTTGCAATGCTAGAAATAACGCTTAATCACATGTAGAACATGTGATGTTAATTGAAAAACAATACATATATCACAATAATTAAGAAACAACTAAAAACAACCCTCTATAATCAAAGCCTTTATACAATCCATAGCAGTGGTCTCTTTAAAATCCCTTGGTAATTGAAGATTTCTTAAATAAAATATCCTGAAATTCTGCAGCAAGATAAAGCACAACGTGTAGTTTCTCAGTGATAACCAGAAATATTCTATTCTAAAAAGGGATATTAGATAATATATTGTATATTCTATTTCTTGCTCTGGGATAGTTTGCTTTTTTTGTCTTCAACAGCAAAGTTGCTCAAAGTTCCAGCCTCAACTTCTTATCTGATTGGTAATTGTTTTATTTATATAAGCTTCGTTTCTCACCGAAAAATCGAAGAAAGGAAGAAGTATTTCAGGATAATTAACTAACTCTCAGCCTCAAACAAAATCAATATTCATTGGGTCTTTTGTCAGCCAATTTACCACTTATTTATTCTACCAAGTTTTGCTTTTCCTTCTGAATGACTATGGCTTCCCTAAATTTCATTTTCTATGCTGGATTACCTCCGCTGCTTATAAATCATATATTAAAATTCATGCCTTTTCACATCATATATTATCTAACTGCTTCCAATATTCAATCTGTTTATCAAGCTAGTAATACTATTTTTTTTAGGAGGGTTGTAGTATACCAAAAAAAAATGTTGAACAAAAAATATACAAACACGAAATATGTAAAATTTGCTTATGAATCAAATTTCAAACCAAATCCTTTAGACAGTTTTTTCAAAAAGAATCTCATTTTCATTAAAAAGTTTAAAATCAATATTTATTTTGAAGAATTACAGAATATCGACGCTTTTTTATACTCAGTTGAAAACCCAGGCTTTTATTTACCAAATCTCAAATGTCTAGAGATTTCAATAATTAGATTTAACGAAACAAAAATTGATTCATCAACTATTCATTCTGCTTTAACTAAAATTATTGAATTTTTTGTTTCACCAAATGAAACATTTTCTAGTCTGAATTTAAAAAAGTTGATACTTGTCATACCTACTGAAGATTTCAATCCAAATAGTTTGAAATGTTTAAAAACATTAACCAATTTACAAGAAATTAAATTATCTTCCAGAATTCAAAAAATGATCAAATTGAATAATTTTCAAAATCTAGAGGCTATTGATTTATCTAATAATTTGATTTCAAAACTTGAAAACTTGGAATCTTTGGTAAACTTGAAAAGTTTCAAGTTTACAAATAGCAAACCTTTCTTTGATTGGAACTATTTTAACGTCAAAATTGATAAAATTGAAAATTTAGACTGTTTAATCAATTTAAACTTTCTAGATTTATCATATAACGAAATTAATAAAATAGAAAATTTATCAAGTTTGGAACGCTTGACTTATCTAAGTTTATCTACAAATAAAATTCAAAAAATCGAAAATTTAGAATCATTATCCAATTTGAAACAGCTAGATTTATCTAAAAATTATATTGAAACCACAGATTTTTGTTACTTTAATATTACTCATAATCTTGAGAATTTAAATCTTGCCAAAAATAGTATTGATGTTGTTTCTAATTCAATTGTAAATTTAATGAATTTAAAAAAGTTAAATCTTTCTTTTAACCAAATTGAAAATGTTGATGTTATAAATTTTTTAAGCAATTTGGAAGTACTCTATTTAAATAATAATCGAATTAAAAAATTTGATAACTTTACTAATTTACAAGTGCTAAAACATTTAGATTTGTCTTTCAATAAAATCAATTCAATTAAAGGAATTGAGTATCTTTCTAGACTTAAAATTTTGAATCTTTCCTCAAATATGATCGATAAATTAGATTTTAATGTATTTAATCATATGATATACTTGAACAAATTAAAATTAAATTACAATCGTTTACAAAAAATCAGTTTCAAAAACAGATATTACATTAGGGATAAATACATCAGAATAATACTACCCAATTTGAGGGCACTAGAGGTAGAAAATTGCAGAGTTGAAACCATTGTATTTGAAAACATGAATATGGGCAGAGATTTTGGGTGTTTGAGAGCTATAAGTTTAGCTGGAAATAAGATATCAAAAATCCAGGGAATCGATTGTTTGGTTGGTTTAAAAGCAGCATACTTTCAAAATAACAAAATAACTGATTTGAGTCAAATAGCGAGATTGAATAATCTAGTCTGTTTGCGATTATCTTCTAATTTAATAACTTCGTCAAATTTAATTGAGTTAGGTAACTTGAAACACCTCGAAAAGCTTAATTTAATGAATAATAAAATTGATGAGATTCCTGGTTATTTCAAAAACTTCAAAAAAATGACAGCTCTTTATATAAGCAAAAATGAAATTAGTAGAATTATAAACCTACCTCCAAATTTGATGTCTTTAGGTATGACTAACGTTGGTATGATTAAAGAAATTGATTTAAATTACTTTGAGGAACGAGACATTGAAATTCAAGCAAGTATAACCAATTTCCAGCGACTTTTTAACTACGGATTGTACAACTATATCAAAACAAATTTTTTTCCTGAAATCTCTCTTTACCAACCAAAATTGTGTACGTAGTGCTGGCGTAACCCATTTATAAGTTCTATTTCTGTTTATATATATACTACACAAATTATTACTAAAAGTGTAAGCAATTACTAGGGCTTTTAGAGCTACTAAAGCCCTAGAGACCGCTTTTGCGTATTTCCTTTTTTCAACAAATAATTATGTAGTGAAAAACTTCAACTCAAACAGAAAGAGCTAACCAATAAATCTAAACTGCTCAAACAACTTCACAAAATGAACCCACCAAGATTGGTTGCTTGGAAAAGCGAGGAAGACCTTATAAAACTCAGGCATTGGTTCTACGACTTTAACGAGCATCTGGATAACCGCAAATTAGCCATAAACTATGTTAACATTTTGAGATCAAGAAACCGATTACCACATTCAATCGAATCGACTTCTCAACTAACTGCATCAATTATAACCGATAGTATTAGCTTAAATGGCAGTGATGCTTACAATTATCATGCCAATGCCATAACTTCAGTCAAATTATCATATTCCATGGCGTTGATAAGATTTGTCAATGGTATTTTAGATCCTCTACAGCAGTCTGTTTATGCTATACCTTTGTCAACATTGGCGAGACATCAAAAGTTACCTCAATTTTTTGTAGAAATTAGACATATGTCAACTCATGAAACACTACCTGATATACAATTATTAAGAGATATAACTCAAAAGGCGTTGGCTTGGTTATATGACAATTATTGGTGCTTTTGTGGTGTTAAAAACACCGAGAATAAGTCAAATAATGATGCTGATAACAATAAAAATAATAATAATAATCTAGTAAAGGAAGATCCTGTAGTTAAGATTAATGATAATTATATTAAGCAAATTAATAGCTTGAAGCAAAATTTAAAACTTTACAAATCTTTTAAAAAGGAAAATCTATTAAAAGTAGTTAAAATCGGAGATAATTCAACCTCAGCTAAAAATTATTGGAATAATTTAAACAATATTTTAATATTCACAAATTCAAAAGAATTACTGATCAAAAATCAATTTGTATTAATGAATTTATTGATTTTTAAAAACATATTAATTCCAAATAAATCATTGTATAAAAAAAAGAAAATAATTCCATTTAGTCAGATAAAACTATTGAATTTAAACTTTTTGGAATTTTTATTTAATAATAAAAAATTAAATGGTAATTTTAATTTCTTTAATAATTTCTTTAAATTTATTTTAATTAAAATCGAGACATTTAAACTTTCAATACATTTAAACAATCAATTGACTCTATTTAAAAAGTTTTTTAAAAAGATTGATTTTGAAAGTAATAAAGTGACTGCAGTTGATGAACTTTTTGGAAACAATGCGCCAATTGAAATTCTTGATTTCAAATTCAATTCAGTTGCAGAAGTAAACTATTCATTGAAATATTTGAAGTTTTTTTTAAGCAACATCCAATCGGACTCCAATTTCAAGAAAAACTATTATTCTAACTATATCAACATAAATAACAGCAATGGCAATGACCTAATAGCTAAGTCTAAATTCTGGATTGATTTGGATGAAATTTTATCTTTTTTACAAGAATATGAAACCTCTTATAATCAAGACCTTTTGAATCATATTAAATCCGAAATAGTGTCATCTCAAAAAAGCAGCAACAAAGCTGCAAAAACCAATAAAAATTTAATAGAAAAAATCGATGCGATTATAAACATGCAATCATTGAAAAGCATACCGAATAAAAGATTGTCCTCTGAAATGGATTATGCAGATGCAAATGAAGATGGCAAAATCAAATTGGAACAAAATCAAGAAGCAAAAAAGGCCAATAATGATACTGAAGATAACTTTGAAAAGGATTTGCAAAATTTAAGAAAAAGAATCAAGCTAATCGCATCTGATTCGCTAACCGAAGAAACCAACCAAGAAAACGAAAACAAAGAAAACAGCAAAAGCACGGCAGAGTTCTTTTTGGAGTTGCACGAAAATTGGCAGATCACTCCCTTTGGAGTCACAATATAGTAGCCAATATTAGCAGCTAATTGTAGGAGAAACACAGGTTCCAGCAAAAAAGCTTCAGAAACCTCAGAAGAACCTGAGAAAAACAGTGCCAGCATTGTTCCAACAGCTCGGGATTTGGTGTTGCGCATATTTATGTATATAGATGAGTATATGCACAGTTTCATGCGTTTTTCAGCATCAGGAATGTGGATAAAGAAGTCCCCAGTTTTTGGCGACGTATGTTTTTTCGATTAGGCTAAAAGTAAACAAGCCTGGTTATATATCTTTCCTAATCTGGAATTATGATAACAAACAAAAGGTAAATAGAAACCTTTCGAAAAGAGGAATGCTTTTCTTCCCTTTTCTATTGCCCATGAAATTAGTTTTCATCCTATTTTTCAATATAAGTAGCTTTGATTTCTTCACTTGATTTTACTTTTTGTTTTCCACACTTTCATTTTTCTAATTGCTTGTTGATTGGCACTGTTGGTTCTTTTGGATTGATACCTTTTTTATATTTTTTTCTTCTGTATTTTGCTGTTGGCCTATTTTTGTTTACCAATTTCACCGAAATTCTTTTTTTTTGCTTATACCCTTCCTCTGGCTACAAACTTAATAACCATGATTACTATTAGCCCATATTCTACTGCTAATGAATACAGTAATCTTTTAAATCAGTCTGCATTTCAGTTCAATCCTGCTGAAATTTATAACTCAACTAATAATCTGAACAATGAGTACGAATTTTTCACTATCATTCCTTTAAAATACGAGTATTTGGTCAAACCATCGCCAATAAACAATATTAATAGCACTAGCAACATCAATATTATTTACGAGTCTTCAAATAATTTATGGAATAAAGTTATTCAAAATAACCAACCACATTATGTCATTGATAACTTGTTGCATTTCAAATCTTTTATTACTAATATTAATGCCAATGTTGGCGGAATTTCCATCAAAATCGACGAAAACAATTGTTTTACTGATAATATTTTTACAATATCCATTTTTGCTAATGATTTCAATTTAATCTCGACCTATAAAAAAAAATTACTTCAATTCTACAATTCAATAATTTCAAAGTCAATCTCTTTCAATCAAAACTCTATTAATTTAAACCAAAATTATCAAAACCTAATTTTATCATTAAATGATATTTCTTCTTACTGCAATGTCACAGTTTTAATTTCGAATCAATTTTTTGATTTTAAATTTAATCTGCCAATTGATTCAAGATTGTCTTCTCCAATAAGAAATCAAAACACTATTAATAATGAAATTAATAACTTTAATGTCTATATTCTAGGTGATAGTAACAATGTCAATTTTGCTGAATCAAGAGTAAGATTAGTATTGGATGATTTTCAAGGTTTATACCTTGATTCTTTAGATCTTAATTTATCTTTACTACCCTTGGTGGCTGGAATTCAATTTAATAATCTTAAAAACATTTCAAAACAATCTGGCGCCAACTTATATTTACCAAATTTATTACCAGGTTTATATAACTCAACTAAACCCACATCTTCAACTTTATCCAAAATTCATTTTTCTGGTTTGCAATCACAAGTTATATTAGCCAAATCCTTGATTGAAAAAATCATTAAAAGCTCTACAGATCAAATTTATTTTAAAGACTCCCACATATCTCATGACAAAAATGATTTATTGTTACTAAATTATCAAGAAAAAATTCTTTCGATAATGATCAAATACAGTTCTTTTATTCAACTAGTTCCTCTTGGGCATGATAACAAGTGCATAATTAGAATACAAGCTAGTTCGATCTCTTTAGTTGACAACTCAATGGATGAATTAATGAATTTACTAACAAATATTTATGAAGTGGAATTTAAACTTCTTAATAAAAACAATGAAAGTCAACAGTTTTTATTTAACTTTTTAAATAACATTTCAATTAAAACAAATACTTGTCTTACTCTGAATAAAAATTCGTTGTATAATATTACAGGATTAAACTCAGATGTTAAGCAATGTATAAAACTTTTGCAATTATTCAAACAATTTAATAAATACCCCAACAACATTCAGATTCATTACAAAATCGAATTACCCAATTCCCAAAGAGATTTTGTTTCCGGCAAGAAAAACGGAAAAATGATTAGAATTATGAACAATACCAATGTATTAATCAAATATACCCCATTAAATGAGTATAACTTCAATATCAACTTGATTTCAAATGATATTTCAGCTTCTTCTGCGGCTATTCAACTACTAGAAGATGAGTTTCCCTCAGAAATAAGTTTTTTCATTCCAGAAGCATATCACAGACAGGTTATTGGTTCTGGAGGTTTAACTATCCAACAAATCATGAGAAAATATAACGTTTTTATCAAATTTTCAAACACTTATGATTATCAGCAAAATATGTTCAGTTTTATTAGACATGAAAACGTTGTCATTAGATGTCCATCGAAAAATTCGAAAGCAATTCCCTCTGCAAAAAGTGAGCTTGATTCTTTATGTAATGAATGCTCCAACTTGCACTTGACAACTTTTGTTAAAATTTCAAGATCTCAATGGCGATTGATAGTTTCAAAATATGTGAAAAACGAAATGATAATTTCTGAAATTGAAAAGAAAACTTCTTGTTTTATTAATTTTCCTTGCACAGAGCCTTCAGAATCTGCAATTATCGAAATAAGAGGAAATGATAATGCTTCAGAAGAGGCTGCAAAATCCTTAAAAAAATATTATCCAAATGATTATGTTTTTAAAATCACTTTTTCAAATCAATTCAATACAATTTGCTCAGAAAACAATCAAGAATTTTTGGATAAAATTATTGTTCCTTTAAGAATTCTCTTGAATATGGAAGTTCAAGTCTATTCAGCTATCGAGTTGGAAAAAAAAGATTCCAATGAAGTAGCTTGTCAAAAACTTGTTTTAAGTTACCTTGCAAAAGATGATATGAATGGCAAGAATTTAAACGATGCTGTTGGCCATATATCATCATTTTTAGAGAAAAATAGTTTTGAAATATTTGATAAAGGAGAAGTTCTCGACAGCCAATTGATAATTAAAGGTTCTGCTTCAACTTCTCTTGGTTCTATTTTAAATAACAAATCTTTTAATCGCAGGTCATTAAGAAACAATATTTTAGCTCCTCCAATTCAATTTTCATTTCCTGCTGCTGGCAGCAAAAATTCAAATAGTGATTTATCGTCAAGTGATTGTTTTTCTAGTGGTGGATATTCTCCAGTTTCTTGCTCTCCAATTTCTCGTTCTCCGGTATCTCAATCACCAATTTCTCGCTCACCTATTTCGCCCTCTAGACAATTATCTAATAATGATTTAGTTCAAATGGAGAATAGCATTTTTAGTTCAAACATTGGCTCATTACCTCCATTGAAAAATGATAATTTTGGTATGAATCCATCTAATCACCAAGTCCCTTTAAATAACATCAGCAATAATTTCTATTCAAATGGGTTGTTATCGTCTCCCAAAAAAACCGTCAACTTAGGTCACAAAAGATTTCATCTGATGGATGATCGTGGAGGTTCTAATACTATTACCAACTTCAATAATAATCTTGCAAATATTAATGTTAGTCCTGGACGCTACTCCAATTATTCCACAAATAACTCAACATATTTTTACAAATAATAATGGTCTTTGGTCATAAAAAACAGACTTTAATTCAGTTTCATTTTTTTTTTATATTTTTTTGGAGACAAGTTATTTTTTTAGGCTAATTAAAAGATTTTACTTTGAATTATTCATATTTTGAATTTTTTTATCTTTTATATACTATTATTTTATGTTTTATGTTTTACATTTCACATTTCACATTTCACATTTCATATTTCATACATCATCACATACTTATTGATATATCATATACTAACTCAATTGATAGGCTCTCTAAAATAAAGACATTACAACTTATAAGATCTATCAGTAGGACCATCGATTATACACTTTACAGCGTTTCCTCCATCCTTCATGAAATCATAGGCTTTAATAGAGTCTTCAAATGAAAAGCGATGCGTTACTAATAACTTGACATTCACCTTTTGATTAGCTACTAGTTCAATAGCACTCTTATAATCTCCATGTGCATATCTAAAACATCCTTTGAATGTTGCTTCTTTTTCCAAAATTCTGGAGATGGGAAAATTAATGTTATCTTTTCCCATTCCAACTTGAACATATGTTGCATTTCTTTTGAGAATTGAAATACCAAGTCGAATACATGTTTCTGCCCCAGAACAGTCAATCACAATTTCTGGCTCAAAATAATTTTTTATGAAAAAATTGATTATATCCTCCTCAGACTGGTCATTATCTTCAACTGAGCTGTGTGTGTAAGTTGCCCCCATTTCTCTTGCCAATTTCAATTTCGATTCAAATAAATCTGTAACCACAACCTGAGTAGCACCAAAAGCTTTGGCCACTGCTGCTGTTAACAAACCAACTGGGCCTGCACCAAAAACAGCAACTTTTGAGCCAAAAACCACATTTCCCAATCTATTTGCATGCACAGCAACAGCCAAAGGCTCAATCAAAGCACCTTCCTCTAGCGAGACGCTGTCAGGCAATTTGTTAGCAAAATCGTATGGAACCAAATAATAACGACATAAAGTGCCATCGAATGGTGGTGTAGCTGCAAAAGCCATCGAAGGACAAAGATTGTAATGGCCAGATTTCATTTCTTCTGAGAATCTACTTGGGATTCCTGGCTCAAGAGCCACTTTATCGCCAACATGCAAATGATCAGGCACCAAGCTCCCCTTTTCTACAATTATTCCACTGGATTCATGCCCCAAGACCATAGACTTTTCTACAACAAAGGACCCAATTGACCCATGAGTATAATAATGAATATCAGATCCACAGATTCCTGTTTTCTTAATTTGCACTTTAACGTAATATGGATTAGAGATTATAGGAACTGGCCGATCTTCAAAAACTATTTTGCCTGGTTTTTGTAAAACGACAGATGGGTTTTTATAACTTAGCATTGCAAGTATTAATTTATGAATATATAAAGTAGTTTATGTCTCAATTTACGTATTATATGGAGCAAAAAAAGAAATATTCACTCCTTTACACAAGGGAAAAGTTGCGATTTGTTTGCCAGAGAAATTTAAAATTTGAATGGTGAATGATCAAATTATCAGAATCAAACCTAGGTGCTGGATTTTGGTTTTGATTGATTTAAATCTACTTGTTGGAAAATGAATATAACAAACATTTTATTTAATGTGGCTCAATTATATACGAAACACCTATGAACTAGAAAAAGAAAAAATATGAATATTGAATTTTAAATAACTTGTATAAATAAACAGAATATGCAATCAAAAAAGCAGTGGAATTGACATTATAATTGTCTAGTTTAAGGGTAAACCTAAAGCTTCTCTTTGAGACTTAGATTTTGGATCAAAAAATGGAATTTCTGCCAATGAAGTAACTCTAGTTCCATGTCTTGGTTCCAATCCTT